TGGCCATGGCGTTCCCCGCCCTGCAGGTCCCCGGGGAGGGGGTCTGGGGGGATTTTGGGGGGTCTCCAGGGGGTTTTGGGTCCCCAGGTACCTGGGGAGGGGATCTGGGGGGATTTGGGGGGATTTTGGGGGGGGTTTGGGGGATTTTGTGGGGTTTTGGGGTGTTTTGGATACACAGGTGCCCGTGGGAGGGAGTTTGGGAGGGAAATTTTGGGGATTTAAGGGGGATTTTGGGGTGTTTTGGGGGGTTTGGGGGGATTTTGGGGTGTTTTGGGTGTGGCCCTCGCCTTCCCCTCCCTGCAGGTACCCGGGGAGGGGAATTTTCAAAAGAATTTGGGAGATTTTTGGGGAGTTTTGGGGGTTTCTCTTCTCCCACGTGCTCACTCACAAAACCCCCAAATCCTCATTTTTTTTCCCCCCCCCTTATTTTCCCCTCCCAGGACGCCCTCGGCCCCTTCGTCTTCCTCCTTTTCGGGGGGCTCCTGGGGGGCTTCGCCCTCTTCACCTTCCTGCTGCTCCCCGAAACCCGCGGCCGCCCCTTCCCCGGCCCCGGGGACCCCCAAAATCCGCCCCCCGCCGCCCTGCTGGGCCCCCCGGAGAAGGACACGGAGCTGCAGTGCTTGGCCAGCCAAGAGGAGCCCTGAGGGGCCCCCCAAAATTTTTTGGGGTTTTTTTTTTTTTTTTTGGGGGGGGGGGGGACGCTTTGGGGACGATTTTTTTGGGGTTTTTTTCCCCCGGTTCAGGGGTGGGATTTTGGGATTTTTTGGGATTTTTTGGGGTTTCCCCCCCGTCCCGGTTGTAAATAAAAGGTGAGGGCAAATCAGCGTGGATCCCCAAAATTTGGGGGGGGGGACTCCCCAAAATTTGGGGGAGAGGGCGGGGTCAGAGCCCGAAATTGGGGGGTGGGGTGGGATTCTGGGGTGGGGGAGGGGATTTGGGGGTCGTGCTGAGGTGTGGGGGAGGGGGATTCACCCCTCTCCCAATCGGGGCCCGATTTTGGGGGAGGGAGCCCCAAATTTTGGCTGCTGGCCCCGCCCCTTTAACCGCAGGTCACACCCCTTCGTGGAGGCCCCGCCCCCTGGCACCCCATTGGTGGATCCGCGCCAGAGCCGCCTCTGATTGGTCGAGAGCCTCGTGGCGCGCACGCGGGTTTGGAGGGGGCGTCACGTGAGCGCCGGCGGGCAGCGCATGCGCAGTGAGGAAACATCGCGGTGCGCTCGAATAAATTTACATTCATTTACATAAAATTACATAGATGGCAGCCGCTAGGACCGAGGCGGTTAGCGTCATTAAGCTCATTTGCATAATGAGCGCTGCCGGCGGCGTTGCCGTGGCAACAAAACCCCCCCAAGAGGGGCTTGAGGTGAGGGTGGGCCTGTCCCGCCTCGCTCCCCGCGTGCTCCAAATCTCGCGAGAGCTCGCTGGAGGCGCAGCGCACCTCAGTGAGCTCTCGCGAGAGGACGGAGCCACGTTAAGCCTGAACGCCCCAACTCTCGCGCGATCCCTCCGGCCGCGCCGCGCTGCTCCGCGCCTCAAATCTCGCGAGAACTCGCGGGCGAGGCGGTGTCGCCAAGCCTTAACTCCACCCCCGCCGGGGTGGAGGGGGCGCCGCGCGCATGCGCAGTCCCCGCCGCGCTCCACCCCTCCTCCCTTTGCGCATGCGCAACCCTCTCCGCTGCCCAGCCCCGCCCTTTCCCCCGCGCTATGCGCACGCGCACTCCCCTCGGCCTCCCCCGCCCCCCCCTCCCCGCGCATGCTCAGTGCGGCTCCCCCCGCCCGGGGCGGGCGCGCAGGCGCGGTGGGCCCGGGGCTTGCAGCAGCTCCAGCGCGGCGGCGGTTCGGGCTTCGGGGCTCGCGGGCGCGGGGGTGAGTCCGGGGCCTTCCCCGGGGGTTCCGAGGGGCGGCCGCGCCTTTGGGGACGGGGGGAAGAAGCTCCGGGATGGAGCCCGGTGCTCTCCCGCTGCCGCTTTCCCCTCAGGCCCGGCCTAGGCCGCGCCCGCGCGCTGCGCTCCCCCCCCCCAGCCCGGCCCGGCGGGGCCCGCGTGGCGGCGGCGAGCGCGAGACCCCCCCGGACCGGGAACGGGAACCCCGAAACTCCGGAGAGGGGAACGGGGGAACCCCGAAAACTCCGGAGAGGGGAACGGGGGAACCCCGAAACTCCGGAGAGGGGAACCGGGGAACCCCGAAACTCCGAAGACGGGAATTTGGGGACCCCCGAAACACCGGAGATGGAAATTGGGGACACCCGAAAACTCCGGAGAGGGGAACGGGGGAACCCCGGAACTCCGGAGATGGAATTTGGGGACGCCCAAAACTCCGTGGATAAAAATTCGGGACCCCCGAAACTCCATAAAAGGGAATTTGGGGACCCCCGAAACTCCGGAGAGGGGAATTGGGGACCCCCAAAACTCCATGGATGGAAATTCAGGACCCCCAAAACTCCATAAAAGGGAATTTGGGGACCCCCGAAACCTCATAGAAGGGAACTGGGGAAGCCCCCAACTCCATATAAGGAAATTGGGGAACCCCCAATTCCATATAAGGAAATTGGGGAGCCCCAAAACTCCATATAAGGAAATTGGGGACCCCCAGTTCCATATTTGGGCCGGGGGGGGCCGGGTAAGGAAGGGATTCCCCTCCCCCCCTCATTAAATGCGTGGAGACCCCCCCAAAAAGCCCAAATTTCCCTGCCCGGAATTCCCTCGAATCCCCCCCAAAACCCCCCCTGGACCCCCCCAAACTCCCCGGGACCCCCCAAAACCCCCCTGGACCCCCCCAAACCACACCAGAACCCCCTCAAACCCCCCCTGGACCCCCCCCAAAATTCCCCCCCTCGACCTCCCCGCCCCTCCCCCCCTCCACGGGGTGGGTTTTTGGGGGGGGTTCTGGGTGGGGGAGGGGGGGACTCCCCTGGGGACCCCCCCAAAATTTGAGGGTGGAGTCTTGGGGCCCCCCCCTGTCCCGGGGGGTGGGGGAGCACCCAAAAAAGGGGGGGGGAGGGGTCAGACCGGGTCCCCACGTGTGTCACCTTCCCCTCCCCC